GGAAAAGCTGACCTGGATAAATGAGTATATGTCGTGTTCACGAAAAGCTCTTTTAGGAATGAAACCGTTCAATGTATATTATTTTATAGTTCGATTTTTTTATCTAAAACTGCAAAGTTCTTTTAGATTTATGCAGAGCTGTTTTTTAGTTATATCGGAAATACAAAATGTATATTTCTTTGTGTGAAAGGCTGTCAAGAACCGATGAAAATCTTCCGCTTTTGCCTTTGAAAAACGAATTTGAATATAAACATGTCAAGCTACCTGTACGACCACTAAATGTAAAATTCAACATCTATCAAAGTGTAGTAGATTTTTCATTAGCATTTCAAAGAAAAGTTTATTTCTAAAAAATACTGTGTATTTTTATCAAAGAATTTTAGTGAAAAAATAAGTTTACAGGACGGTGAACGCTGTTTAGCAATTACACTAGGAATTGGAAAACTGATTGAAGCGGAAGTGTTACTCAGAAAAGTTCTTCCTAAGCATTGCGAATTTTTTGGCGTAGATCCTTCTGCACTTTATAACAAAGCTTTAGTAGAGAGTTATAATTGTACCTTCTTTGAGGCAGCAATTGGAGACAAAAGTGAGATTATAGATGCTCTTATTTGTACAGATAAATTTCCCAAGCAATAATTTTTTTGATAAATTAGTAACAAGTTGAGACCTCTTGAAGTTTCAAAGCTGTCAAAAAGGCAAAATAATTAAAATCAATCGTAAAGGAAGGCAGAATATTTTTAAATTTAAAAAAATGTTGACAGTTATATTCTGTATTACAACTAGGCTTTTGACCTTTGGGCCATAGATTTACTTATTTCTTACGCCTTAAATCTATTTTTATCATTTACAGCTGAGGGCTCTAAGTATTTCCATATAAGACATGTAGCTCTTGAAGAGTATTCGACTGAAATAGTTGGTAGAAGCAATGTTATCAACTGGCTGTCCATTGATATTCAAGCGGAGGAGGTACTATACCACTGACTATTTTGTCGTTAATCACAAGAGAAAAAAATGAATCAATAGCATAACAAATAAACGTTTGTTGCAATTTCTAAAATGTGCTTTTCTACTTTCCAGATTGCACTATTTCCGTCGTTATTGAAGTACGGACTTCTTGACAAGCTTAATATGCACGTCTGTCAGCTAAATATGGAGTTACACCTTGCACCATTCAGACTTCTTCCTCCGCGCACAGGAGTTGTTCCTATCTTTAAGTTTCTGGCCGACGCTTTAATGTCTAGAAGGTTTCACTTTTATTTTCAAACATTATAAGGGGATTTACATTATGCAAATTTCTGACAACTTTAAAACGTTAAATAATTTTGACTAAAACAGGAGGTTTTCTATAAAACACTATTTCTCAATTTGATTCTTGTAGACTACAACAAGACAGATCAAGCAACTTTTCGACTTCTTTCTGCAAAAGAATTTCGCCTCAGGAGCTTCAAAGCTTTGCTCCCTAAAACTTTTTTAGTGTTTTTGTTAGAAAGTTCCACAAATATGAATGAAAAATGAGTAAGGCGAACAGAGCGGAATGAGAATTTTTGTAGTCAGATAGATTTTAACATAACATCAGACATATACAACGTAAAGCACTGCTGCTTCCTCATGTTTGTAAAGAAACTCAAATTTCGTGCTTCAATGACGGTACTTCCCAGATGTTTTCTTGAAACCAGAACATCCAGCTCTGTCACGAATCACATTTTATGCTGTAAACGTCGAAAGTCAACGACGCCGCGAACGATGTATAGATTAAAAAGTGTGCATTCCGGCTGGATTTGTTATTGTTAACTTGAATCTTCATTACGTTTCTGCTTTGTACGGCTTATCAAAGTGCTGCAGCATTGTATCGTTCAGCAGTCCGCCTGTCGCGACTACCGACCTCCTACTTAATTGGAGAGTTGATCTCAACTCCTGTACCGTATCCCTATGGGGAACCGAAGTTCTACTAAACTTTAAACCGCAAGCAACCGTAGTCGCCGACGCCTGCAGCTTTATATTTTTGAGGGCTGTATTTACTGAGTGGTAACGTTTAATAGTGCTGGTCGTTTGATTCTATTCGATAATTCCTTATTTGATGAAAGCTGTAGGAATACATTGTAAATGAAAAGATCACGGAACGCAAGCCCACAATCTGCCCTAACAATGTATAAAGAAAATATAAGGAAAGATCACGGAGCACGAACCCACAAATCTTCCCTAAGATTATATGATATAATGTTGGTAGGAATAAAAAGGCAACACTGACTACAAGCCTTTAGTGCTACCTTATCACAAAGAATTATCGCGTAACACAAAGAAACAACGCAAAAACTTATATAATAATAAACTAAATGAAATCAATAAACAAACTTTAAAATACAAAAGGAGAATCAAAGGCTTAACAATAGGAGGAAATAGATGAGATTTAAGTCAAGATCGCTCTCTTATGAACACTGAACTCTCGTCGTTACCTTGCTCCTTATATACCATTATTGTTGTATTGACCTTTCCACCATTGCTTCCAAGAACTTCCGCTCAGGGCCATGTCTGGGTCACTACAGTTTGCTGCCTTGAGGCCATTTCGCGTGCCGTCGCGACACCGCCTCAGTTGTATGACTGTGATGGCGAAAAGTGAGAAATTATTTTTAAAACGCACTTTGCCTCTCCCGTCTTCCTCTTAAGAAGGCCCAAACTGCATTGCAAACCAGCAAAAAGCTTTTCTAAAACCCATATAAGCAAACGATAATATTACTTTTTTCACCCTCGTATTCAGTAATCTTTCTTGCCAGCGAGAAACTTTCGTGACGAGCAAATTTTCAGCAACATCGTCATAAATCTATGAAATTTTTTCGCGCGAGATTCTGAGCTTATTGATAACTTCCAGAATTTGAAAAAGTGGAGAAATTCTTTTCGTCTCCCCACTATTGCCTCAAAAACCAAATGTGCGCTAAATTCTAATGACTTTTTTAAGCTTTTTATTTTGAAGATCTCTCCAAGTAACTTTAAAAAGTTATCGCTTATTTTAAACGTCTTATGTAGTACCACAGATTACTGCAAAGAATTCAATCCAGTTAGCATAGTTGTTTTGTTTGTAAAGACTGCTATTTTGCGCAATACTTATTCATTACCTCAACGAGAAGTTTAATAGTTTTGAGAAAGAAATGATAAGTATAGCAATTCAATAAATAAGTACAAGACAAATGGGAAAAAAGATAAATCACAAATAGTGCATGTATTTTGGGTCAAACAAGAGTATAATGTAGTTGCTTCCAAACAGATTTTGTCATATTCTACAGCGGTCGCGGACCCAGTTGGCTCTGTGTCTCGCGATGAACGTAAAAAGCTACAATTAGAACGCTTCATGGAACCCGATTAGCGACAGGAGATAGAGAGGCAACCATAAAACAGCCAAATTTTTATATTAATGAGGGTCGACTGCCTCCAGTGGGTCGACAAGAAGAAAGGAGCCACCGTGTTATGGTTTACTTTTTTGACGGTGAAATAGCTAATTTTC